TTTTTTTTTTAGGAGGTGAACAGTTCTACCCAAGCACGAGCGGAGGAGTGGTGTGTGTTTGTGATGAGGAAGCCTTGAAATGGAAGGTTGAGAGCTCTGTGTTAGCTGTCTTTAGCTTAAATTGATGGTTGGAATTCTGCGAGGCAACACCACAGAGCCGAGTTAGCTATTAATTTGGGGAAAAAAAATAAAATTGTGCGCAAAAGTAGATGTGTGAGTCATCAGCAGTGATTGTTGGATTTGTGTGTTCAAGTGAGGTTCCTTTGGAGGTAAGGTAGAGGAAGAAAAGGAGGGTCAGAGCTATATGGAACCTGCTCTGCAGGCTGGAGGAGAGATGAGGACACCAAGAAGAAAAGCCTTTATGCGAAGCTGCATGGGATGGATGTGCAGTGTGATACTGGGTATTTCTGGTATGCAGGTTTTAGAGTGAGTGTAGTGCTCTTCCTGCGAGTGAGTGACCTTGGTTTCCTCTGCTCTGACAGCTTGCTTTGTGTTCTGGAAGTACTGGGAGTCTGGTGGGAGAAGGGGAGGGACTGGATGGAGTCTGTGTGTACAAAAGCTGTTTTTAAAACCAGAGTGACACATACTCCAGTCTTTGTCAAAACAGGTGCCTGGTTTGAATAGTGAATCTTCCCTCACAAACCACAAACAAGCGGAAGAGGAATGTGACCCAAATATCTCCTCTGTTCTGAATGCATTTGGGAGGAGCTTGACAGTCCTGGGCTGATCTGTGTTTTGTGAATGAAAATGCAGGACATCTTTTGGTAGCAGCTCTTCATTCACCTGAAGTCCTCAGACAGGACCTCTGCCCTGATCTGTGCTCTGTGCACGTTTCTGACCCCGAGGCTTCCCTCACAAAGGTGGCCCTGTTTCAGTGATGCTGTTCAGGGATGATGTCCAAAAGGCTTTTGAAGAAGTGACTAGAGAATTACACAGGGTGATCATGCAGATGAGATGCCTATCACAGTAACATGCTCAGTGTCAATGGGGGGCAGAGCACTTGTCCCTTCCTTCCAAGTGGACCTTTTTTTCCTTTCCTTTTTCAAGTGGCTTTATTTCTAAACATTTTAGATACAAAGGTTTTCTTTAGGCTAAATTTCCAGAGCTGTTTCACGTTTGTTGACGTGACTGAGATGTTGTTTTTGTAGACTGTTCCTCTGGCTAATCTTTGCCTGTGGAAGCCAAAGCCTGTGACATGCCAGGTGACATTGCATTGGGAACAGTAACATGAATCAGAGGCTGCAGTTGTAGATTTCTTGGAGCAGTGTTTAGCACTACTGGGCTGCAGGCTTGAGAGCAAGTGGGGCAGAAGCTGATGTGAGGAGGATACTGTCAGTGGCTTTTTATATTTGTTCTAATAGTCAGAACTATTTTAAGAGAGTTTTCCCAGCTGCAAAGCAGATAATGTACTGCACCATCTAATCCTGCTGTGTGAATGAAGCTTGCTATCCCCCAAGCGCCTGCCAGTCTCTCTGCTTATTTATCACACTCCAGAGTGCAGTGTAAGACATGCCTGAAGAACAGCCGACTTCATCTTCTCCAGGAGCTTATTTAGACAGCACCCTGAGAGAGCAAGAACTGAGGTTTGCTCTAGCGCAAGCTGACAGAGCCAGTCCTCTGACTTACCTGTAACCTTAATCTCCCCGCTGAGCTCTTGTGCGCTGACACATTTGGCAGCTCATCTGGTGGAGCTGGAGAGAGCTGAAACTCACCCAGCTTACGTGCACAAAGCTGCCTCTCTGCAGCGTGTGACTTGGCAGCCAAGGAAGCACGTGGGACTGACGCGTCCTTTCCCTGGGAAGGCTGCTGCGTGCCAGGGCTGTGGAATCTGCTCTAAGCAGGTGACTCAGACCCAGGGGCCTGTGGGCACCTGGTGGAATGTAATAAATAAGCAGTGTGGTTCGGTGATTCAACGTGATCTCTGGCTCCCCACCCAAGCAGCACAACCGCCTGCCCCTCTCTGCCCTCCTCCAGCTGCTGGTGCTCCAGCTTCCCCAGGAAGCCCTGTCTGCCTTTGATGCCACCGTACCACAGGCTGCTCTTGCAAAGCCTGTAAATCCTGATGCTCTCTTCATCTTAAAGACCTGGAGACAAAACCTTCTCCAACTGTGGCATGAGCTAGCGTATGCTAACAATCACCATGAAGCTGTTTGGTTGCATTTTCTGCCTACATGTCTGTGGTGCAAGTTCTGCAGGCTTGGTCCCTGCACTGGTCTGCAGTGTGCCTGGTACCTTCTGAGTGATAACAGATGAGTGAGCAGACAAAGATCAAATGGTGCTGTAACATGCTCCTTGCTGGGTGGTGAGGCTGTGTCCTCTCTTTCTGCATTAACCTGAGCTGAAGAAAGCCTGTCCCTTCCCTGGTGATCCTAGTGGCTGTCTGTGACCAAAGGGTAAAAGTAAATGAAAGCTGAAAGGGCAGACAAAAATATTTGGGAGGGAAAGGCTGTTTCAGATGGCTGATGTGTGTACAACCTGGAGCTAAAGGAGAAGGAATTGACTTGAGCCTGGGGATGAGAAGGCATCTCCTAACTCATGAGAATAAAAAGATTCTCTTCTGGTTTCTAGCTGGAGCAGTTTCCAAATGTGGCAAAAGGAGAGAAGTTAAATAAACTTTTAAGCCAAGCTAATGAAGTAAATGAAAAGGGAATTTTGGAGTATCTGCGATGACCAGAGACTGGCCTGGGTGACTTGGGTGATTCTTTCCTGTCTTGTGCTCCTAACTGAAGAGGACACTTTCTCAGCCACCCCAAAGGATGTTGTAAACACCCCCTGGCTTTGTGATAAAGCTGTGTAAGATGTTGTCTGCATGCTTGCAGTGCAATGTCTGTGATGGTGAAAACCTTCACCTTTGTTTTTGCTTGTTTTTCTCCAGGAATGGGAACCACAGATCATGTCATAGTGCTGGCTTCCACCAACCGTGCTGATGTCCTGGATAATGCCTTGATGAGACCTGGGAGGCTTGACAGGCACATCTTTATTGATCTTCCAACACTCCAGGTATATTCCATCTACCACCCTGTCCTTACCTAACCCTAATGACTAAGGTGTCCCAGTCCTTGCTGGTGATTCACTGGCTTGGCAAAGGCTGAGCTTGGAGAAGATAAAAATGGTGAGCTTCTGTTTGCCTTTATTCTTATTTATGTGCTCTAAATCCAGGATTTGACGTGCTGAGGCAGTTGCTTGTTCCTCTGAAATGACAACTGAACTCTTTTTAAGTCTCTGCTCTGGTATGAGCTCTAGCAGTGAATTCTTCTGTGAGATTCTCTTTGCCATGCAGATGCAGAACTGTGTTTGTATCTTCTCCCTGGGAAATTGGGAGCCACTTAATTGGCAAATTGGCTTGTGTGAGAGCCTAAATTGTCATGTGCCCTAAGCACCGTTTGTTTTTTAGGTTTATTGTCCTCTCTATCCTGGTAAGGCTCCTCATTTTCTTTTAGGCAGCCTGTTAAGTGATTTCTTCCTTCTGAATGCTTTTTAAATCCACTTACTCGGAGTCTTCCATGTACGCTGTTGACATTTGTAGCAGAGTTTTGGGAATAGGCTCAGCTGCAGTAAAGATCTGTCAGCTCTGCCAGCACAGGCTCTTCTTCTCCCATCTGTGCTTTACTGGCATCCTCAGAGTTTTCAGTTAAAATACCTTAAATGCCTGATACAATCTGGCACCGGAAGCATGAGCTGTGCAGCTGCCCTGAAGGAGGAAGGGGAAAAACCCTGGCAAGTGAGCCCATTGTTTTAATCAGGATCTCCTGGACCAGCTGAATGAGTCACTCCGTGGCTACTTGCCAGCCATCATCTCACCCCCACCTTCGTCTGGGAAGTGGTCGAAGGCAAAGTAGTTAGTAGCTACACATAGCTAGTAGTTGGGTTTTTGGGTTTGTGGTGTATGAGGGAGCAGGTAGGGGCAGTCAGAGCTCCTTCCTGCAAGTGCTTTTATGGTAAGAGAACAGTTAAGACAGATCAAAGTGAAAGTTAGGAGGGGAGAGTGGCCCTGGGAGAGAAAGCTGTGACTCACGGTAAGCCTCCATCCATCCATCTGTTGTGAATTTGAGAGCTGGGTGTGTTTATCAGGGCTCCAGTAGCTCTGAAATGCTGTCAGGACAGCCCTGCCCTCTGGTGGCAATGTCACTGTCCCCGCTGCCAGAGGTCTGCTCCTCCCCTGCTCCCATCCGAGCTGCTGCGCTGGGAAGGCTTGCTGAGCTCAGGTTATCCTGTGTTCTTTACAGGAGAGGAGAGAGATCTTTGAGCAGCACCTGAAGGGTCTCAAACTGATCCAGGATGCCAGCTTCTACTCACAGCACCTTGCTGAACTGACTCCGGGCTTCAGCGGTATGACATGCTGTGTGCTTGTGTGTGGGGCTGCCCTGCCTGCTGCTGCGCTAGTTCTGCAGCTCAAGCTGGAGCTTTTTGGTTGCTTAGTTTTAACAGGGTGTTTTGATCTAAAGGGTTTTTTTTCTTCAAGCCTTCTCCATCTCTGAGAAATAGTGGGAACCTAACCGGCTCCCTGCTGAGCTTTGAGCAATTGTTCATGGCTATATTCAGTCTTCTGAAACTTCTGGGACTTAGCAGGGTGTGGGGGTAGGGAAAATACACTTTTATAATGCCTGGGTTCCTAATTCCTAAGGGGAGGAACCACTGCACATGCCCCTTTCCAAGCTGTTCCTGAGAATGAGATGTTACACTTCAGGGGAAAGACTCTTACGTTGATCTATGTTACCAGGGAAGCGATAGGAGGAACAAACAGCAGTTACTGTGTTGGTCAGAGTAGAAATTGGACAACTCTGCCTGGCTCCTGCTTTGAGCCTGTTTCCAGGGTAAGTCCCTGGGAATTTGAAACAGTGCTGAGCAAGGGGCTCCAGAGTTCCTGTTTATGTGGAGTTCCTGGAATATCCTTTCTGGGTTTCCCCTCTAACAGGCCCCAGCACACAGCCTCTTCGTGACTTCTTTCATCAGCCCCCCGCCACCATCACCCACACACACAAACTCAGAACAGATGTTCTTTCTCTTCCACGCAGAGGTTGTGCAGCCGCTGTATGAACAGCCCATGCCAACCCAGGCTGCCCACGCTGCTCTCCTTGTTGCTGAGAGCCAGCCTTGGCTTTAGCCTGTTAATTGATTGCTGAACTCTGTCCTCTGTGTGGCAACACAGCGTTCGTTGCCAAGGCAGTTGTATTGTTCACATCTAAAGTAAACACCACGGACTAGGTTTGCTCTCTGTTCCCAAGGAACAAAATAAATGCAGGCGGTTTGACTGACTGAGGTCCTTCTCCAGATTTGTTCCTGCCTCTTCTGTCCCCTGAAATCTCTGTCCCATAGCAAATCCAGTGTAATTCTTGTAAACCCTTGTCTACAGGAGCTGACATAGCCAATATATGTAATGAAGCTGCTCTTCATGCCGCTAGAGAAGGTCACAAATCCATTGATACTTCCAACTTTGAGCACGCTGTGGAAAGAGTCATTGCAGGTACGTGATCCAGACATTTCTCTTGTTGTCTTACTAGTCTGTAGCATGCTTCTTGAGAGAAGGCTCAAGTGAGTGGGCTACATTTGAAGAAGACCAGTGGATCCTAACCACGCTCTGTCCTGTAGAGCTGTCCTGAGGGTCTTGGATGCCAGAGTCACAGAAAGTTCCCCAAACAAGACTCCAAATGGATCTGTCTTCCTCGATCTGCAGGCAGTCTGAACCCATGCATCAGGGAACATGGCCTCTAGCAAAACAGTAGAGAGGGGAATTCACATCTGTATGGCTTTTTTAGTTTAAAAGTGTTGTATTGTTTTGTTTGATTGTTTTTTTAAAAAGAGAGTGGAAGTATCTCTGGGTTTTTCTTGCTGCTCTGGACACCTGCTACATAAACATGAATAGCAAATAGACTACAGCATCCTCAACAGCAAGAAATCAGAGATTTTTCTTTTTGGCCTTAAAGCTGAGGCTTTGATGAATTGGCAGAATAAACTGAAGACAGTAGAGCACTGTTCTCCCTCTGAGAACATCCTGTCGGCCTTTCCCTGTCACTGGTGTGATTGCCAGCAGAGGAACCTCTGGAGATTACCCTGTGGCAGTATATTATAGGGAGGGGGAAAAAGAGTTCCCAGAACTCTTGACTTCACCTGGGGGATTTGAAGCTGGTGAGTTTTGGTCTGAACTGCCCTGTAGCCGAGCCTTGGGTTTCATAATCAGACACTTAACTGTTTCCAGGCTGGAGTGTCATCACCAGGGCGTGAGGCTGGGCACAGACTGGCGTGCTCTGCTTCTCTTGGTGTGGAACAGGATGTTTGTACTGGGTCAGTTACTTCCCGATCCTGGAATTTAGTCTTGAGTGTTTGCTTTATCAGAAAATGCCTAAACAATTCCTCATTTAAGAGGAGATTTTTGAGAAAATTCCTGACACTTTCAACCTGCCTCTTAAAAACAAAACCCTTGGAGTGCTTTGTGTGACTGTGGCCACGCTGGCATGAAGCCCAAACTGTACTCAGCAATTCCCAGGAGCAATTCCGTTTGTAACGCAGGAGTCCTCATCAGCCAGAGCAAAGATGTGCTTTACTTTCCCCTTTGCAGGAGAGAAAACACCAGACTTGTAGGGATTCACTTGGCTTTTCTTTCTGCATTCCTCCCTTGCCTTAGTTCCCAAGACTTGGAAGATAAGGCAAAAAGCAATTAAGGCCCAAGGGGATGTGCAGCAGAAGGGGTATCTGGGATTAATGCGGTGGGGCATTGCAGGGCAGGGGCTTCAGCAGTTTCACTGCTGACAAGCTGACTTGCTTCCTTAGGCTCTGTGGCCTGTAGGAGGCCGTAAAGTCTTTTTGTTGCTTAATCAGATTCTTTCATATTAGCAGGACCTGGCTATTTTTTGGTAAACTAAGTCTAAAAGGCCCCAAACAACCCTCCGGGCTCGTGTATTAAATGTCCCCTTGCCATGTAATAGGAACACTTCTGGGTTTCACAATCCAGAGGGCACTTGAGTTGCTATAAAAGCTTTTCTTGAAAGAAAGAAGATATTACTGTGCTTTCCATTATAAGCTTCTGGTTTTAATAAGAGTGGTGTGGAATCAAAAGAGAACTTTGCAAGTCCAGAGGCCCTGTCAGCCTGAAAGCTTTGTGTTACTGTAAGGGAGGAGTAAGAACTTTTCTCTGTGGTAGTCCCCATTGTGTTTTCAGTTTGGGAACAGAAAGCAGTCAGTAAGTTAGGTCTCTTGGGAGCGAGGGAGGAAACCTGCTGAGTGCACAGAGGCATTCAGGGGTTGTCCTTAGAAGATGGGGCAGAGCCTGTTTTCTCCATGGGGTTTGTGTACTCTGCTTAAGGCCAGCAAAGATGCACCAGAATTGTTTCCTGGGTTGTTTGTCTCATAAATGTGATAAGTACAGGCTTTCAGAGAACTTTCCTGCCTGGAGATTACTTGATGTAGGAAAAGAAATAATCTTTACAGGCACACTGTGTGTTGTTGTGAAGAGTACAGTCCCTCCCTCCTTGGTGGGCTGACAGAGGAATACTGCCAGAATTTTTTAAGACTGTGTGTGTGTGTGTGTGTATGTATGTGTATGTGTATATATATATATATATATATGTGTGTGTGTGTGTGTGTACATATCTGTACGTCTTTCTACAGAAAGAGACATACAGACACATGCACACATGCTGCTGAAGGCAGGGTAAGGGACTGACTGATGGAAATCAAGGCTGTTGCAATTAATCTGCTGTTCCATCACCATCATGCCTTGCAGGGAACGGTGGTTTCCAGGGTCCCTAAGCAGTAATTTTACAAGCTCTGCCACACTAATTTTGCTGTTTCCTTGTTTAATAAAGCTCTTGACTTTGTTTAAAAATTAATGTTAATAGAATGTTGTTTTCCAAGACATCAAGCAAGCTTGGTGTAATGCTGCTCTTGACTCTGCCTGCTCTACCCCCTGCTGCTCCTGGCACTGTGTGGAGACATCAGCTTTAAAGTCCTGGTACCTTTTTGCATTCACCATGCAGAGCTCTAACGAGTGCTTGATAAGCACTGTGTTCTGTAGTTAACATATTTTCTACGTGCTAGAAGTTTTACTTCCATTCAGCACTTTTTTTTTTTTAAATCCTAATTGGATTTATTCTGTGTTATGGACTACTGGGTTGGAAAATAGACACCTTCAAAAATCACCTTTTTGGAGGAAGTATGAAGTGTGAGTTATGGCTTAATTTGCTAGTTCTCAGGAGCCTGGGAATAAGCTCACACGGAGCATGCCGTGTTTAATCAGAGACATTGCCACGGTCCAGACAAAGATTTTTGTAATTATTCTTGGTCTTTTGCTGATTTGAACACTCCTAATGCACAAAAAACTCAACTGGGACCTCTCTTATATATAATACAACATCTTGCTTCTCTCATGTTCTGCCTAAGGGACTGAAAACCCATACAGCAAAATGAGTGTGATATTCTAGCTAGTCTCTGGTTTGGATTTTGTTGAGGTTTGGGGTTTTTTTTTTTCCAAAGGGGAGACTGACTTGTTGCAGATCTGTCCCTGGGCAGACATATAGTGTAACATGCCTTTGGCAGAGCTGGGAACAGAACAGAGCTTTGCCTTCTAGAGCTGTGATCTAATGAAATGTTAAATTATTTGTCTAATGATTAAGTCTGTTGTAAGGGGGAGAAGCAGGGAGAGGGGGGAGTTTCTGTCGGTGTTTTCAAGCAATCCAAGCACGGATTGCTTTCTGCTGCGGGGACAGACAGCACCTTCCACAGCCTTCCCTCACTGAAGGGCTTTTTGCTGCCTCTCCCTAGGTGGAGTGCAATATAAAACTTGCTGGCTGTTCAGCCATGGACTGTACTGGCTCGTGCACTTTGCTGTACAAGATGATGCCCTGCTAGTTACACCTATTGCCTGTGATCTTATCAAACCCTTGTCTGTGTTCCTATAGGCACTGCCAAAAGAAATAAGATCTTGTCACCAGAAGAGAGGAAAGTTGTGGCGTTTCACGAATCGGGTCACGCGTTGGTTGGCTGGCTGCTGGAGCACACCGAGGCGGTGATGAAGGTAACTCTGCTCCTGGCTGTTGTGTAATGAAGCCTGTCACTGGGTGGGAAGAGAATCCTTTGGGCTTCTCCCTCTCCAAGATGCACTGATCGCTGTGAGCTTGGAGCTGGGAATACTGCAGCAAAATAAATGGTAAATACGCTGAGGAGAAATCCATTCTTAGGCTCCGCTGGTGACAGTGATGGTGCAAAGCTGATTAAGCAGCTCTAGGAGAAGCCTTTTGCAGTTAAAAGCCAACTGTAAAGCTGTTTGGAGCAACTGAGTCTCCTGATGCTACCGCTCAGTTCATGCACCTCCTCCAGCGCAAAGCACAGCTCTGTGTGTGCCTGATCTCTATCCCTGCCTTGGCTTGCCAGCGTGTTGCAGCCAGTGAAGCTGCTGTTGCAGGACCTGCTTTGATAGCGATGGAGAGAGATGTGTTTTTCAGATTGGCATACATGGGAGTTTGCCTGAAGCCCTTCTCTGCAGGGAAAGGCCTCTCTTTGGTTCCCCAGGGTGTGTCCTCTACCATGCACGTCTCCTCCTCGAAAAGCCTTGACACTGGGGCAAAGTGGGGAGTGGAAGTGACAAGGGTGACAGCTCCTTGGCTCACCACCAGCAGCAAATTCACTCTGAATGACCTATTGTATGAGCTGAACTGTTGTTAATTCCTGTTATTTAATGGATGGGAGAAATGGCTCTTCTTTTTTTCTGAAGACATGTTCCCCAGGTAGTCTCAGTGATTCTGGAACACAGTAAAGTGAACTCTGTTTGGCTTATACCCTCCAAAGCAACTCCTGAATCTCAGGATTCTACTGGCTTGCTGTTAAGAACAATTTCCTTATCATTTATTGAGCAGAAAATGGCAGAAGGTGTATGTCTGCAGCTGTGAAGGCAGAGCCTTCAGTACAGGAATGGTGACATGCTGCAGACCTTGGCTGTGTTTCTGTAGATGCCTGCCCCATGGCTTTCGACAAGTTTCACTGGGAATGTTCTTTCTGTTCTCCTGCTGCTGCTGTAGCTGGGAGCTCTCTGCTCTCTGAACTGAGGGAGCTGCTCTGTGTTGCAGGTTTCCATAGCTCCTCGGACAAACGCAGCCCTCGGATTCGCTCAGATCCTTCCAAGGGAGCAGTACCTCTTCACCAAGGAACAGCTGCTGGAGAGGATGTGTATGGCCCTGGGGGGGAGAGTGTCCGAGGCCATCACCTTTAACAAAGTCACCACAGGTGAGGAGCCAGATGCTGGCACAGGCAGGGGGAGATTGTGCTGAGAGAGCCTGAACTTCTGCACTTCATCCATCCATCCATCCAGGGGTGATCTGAGCAAGAGACAGAGGTTTCCCACCCTGGGAAGGAGAAATGTCCATGTTTTGATCTTAGGCTTGCATTTGTGAGCGTGGAGATCTCATTGTTGGTTGTCACTGTGCTGTCTTAGACTTGTCCCAAAGCCTGAGGCCACAGATGCAATTACCTGGTGAGACTCTTGGCTCACAGGAGGGCCTAGAGCTTTCTGTACCATGTTTCCACCTAGTTATATCCAAATGGGATATCAGTGGGCAGTGGCAGGTAAGTGCTCCACATGAGCTGGGTATCTGTAGATCCACTTATTGTCCTGCACAGGTCCTGCAATACATGTAGAAGGTCCATCAGCAAGTGGAGTGTTCACCTCCATGGGCTCCTGTGGGTCCTGTGGTCTCTCAACTTGTAGAATATGTGTTCATGCAGGATATGCCCCTCTTGATCTCAGCTGAGAGCTGGTAAACATTGTGTCTCTCTCTCTTCTGCCTAGGAGCACAGGATGACCTGAAGAAGGTGACCAAGATAGCCTACTCCATGGTGAAGCAGTACGGGATGGTGCCCAGCATTGGGCAGATCTCCTTCCCAGACCTGGAGAGTGCAGCTGGAATTGGTCGGCGCCCTTTCAGCCAGGGACTTCAGCAAATGATGGACCATGTAAGGCCACCCATGGTTACACCTTCCTGTTTGTTCTTTACTTCCTTCAGTTCACTGAAAAAAATGCAAGTGACTTGCCCTCAAACAATTGGCATTTTTCTGGTGGCTGTTAAGTGTTAAATCTCAACCACGGAGCAGTTCCCTGTTGGGTTACAGCACATCAGGACTGTGCCGTGAGGCGTTGAGAACAGGCAGAATCCCACATAGCTCTGAGTTCAGCCCTACAGTGCTGTGCTGCTGCCTCAAGCTTCAGTTGAGTGACTGTGAAATGTGCTGAATGCATAGAACTGAAAGCTGCAGTCCTGGGTCAAGTGTGGACAAGACCCTGGTGAGCTTCTGGGAGACAGGAGGTGCGAATGTGATGGTTTGGAGAGAAGGAGAAATGCTTTGCAGGGGAAGATGGAATAATTTGGGGAGACTGAGGGGTGGTTGTGGAATTGTGTGCAAATACCCTGTGCTAAGATTCTGTTGCAGGAAGTCTCTCCAAGCCCTCAGGAGTCCCAGTATCTCTAAGCGTGGCTATGCAACACTTAGATTATAAGAAACCTGTGTCTTAAAGTCTCAGTTTCACAATTTAAATATCTCCACTTCCTAGATCAGAGGAAGGCTGTCTAATCAAAATGATGGTTGGGACTGGCTGAAAAATGTGAGTCTGATTTGATAGGAAATTGGGTCTCATTGCTGCAAAAACCATCGCCTTAGCTGAAAAGTTAAGGCAAAAAAAGCTGCAAACAAAAAACTCCGCTGCAGAAGCAGAGCTGTTGTGTCTTCCTGGGATTTGTGCTGAGCTGCCTCTTCTGCTACTGGGCAGCCTCCTTAATTAGGCTGTGTTTCCCCTCAGCTGGAACCCTACTGAAGAGTTGTGCTAGTGCAGGAGTTATCACCAGTTCTCCTCTGGCTTTTTTTCTAAGGGTCTATCTGTATTTTCTGTTGATGAGAACCGCTTTCTGCCTGGCTCAGTTTGCAGATTCCATCCCTCAGCACTCTCCTTTTTTTTTATCCACGTGTCATGTTTGTTGTCACCTCTGCTGTGCTCCAAATATCTCTTCTCATTACTGTCTTCTAGGAAGCAAAAGTCTTGGTGGCTCAGGCTTACAGGCGCACAGAAAAACTCTTACTGGAGAACCGGGACAAGCTACAAACAGTAAGTTGGAGTTGTGGGGGGTTTTATTTGTTGGTTTTAGTTGGTTTGGGGTTTTTTACGTGGTTTTGGGGGGGTTTTTTTGCCTTGCTACTTTCTGTGCTCTGTAGCTTGGCAGTTGCAGTGTCTCTGTGGTCCTAGAAAGTCTTGTAGTGGGAGTGCTGGGGCTCATGTTGTGAACGAGTGACTGTTGACTGCATATCCCCCAGGTTAGGAGCAGGCACAGGGAGGAACGTGTGCCTCTTCCAGCAGTGAGTAGTCTGTCTCCTGAGTAGTCTGTCTCCTGACACCAGCTCGTATTTGCAGGTCAGAGGAGTAGGAGTGCTCTGTGGAAGTGATCAAAGCTAGACCCTGTGTCCCTCACCTGCACTCCTAGCCTCTTGGCAGTGTAATTTCCTGGAGAGCAGATAGTGACTGTTTTTGTGAAGCCTGCAGAGGCAGGAACAGCTCATCCTTCTGGGTCCTGTAGATGTACAGGAGTCAGGTGAACAGTTCCTGGTTTTGGGGAAAGAACATGGGACCTGTCACCTTGGCTGACCGGTGCTGGTTCTTGCTTTCTGGTGACTCCAGGCAGTTTTCACCTGCCAGCTCACTGATGCCTGATATACCAAGGAGGTTTTATTGCAGAGCTAGAGCTTTGCCTCCTCCCATTTGTGTCCTGAGAATCCCTTAGCCAGTCACCCTGGCATGTCCCCACCTCTCTGCCAGACACTCTGTACTCATGACTCTGGGCTGAGCCATGCTTGGGTTCCAGCACCCTGTGTATCTACTTGATCTTTCCTTCAGAAACCCCATCCATAACATCCAAAACGACCAGGAGGCAACTGAGTGTTGCATGTTTTGCACATAAAACAATCCTTTTCCTTAAATCTTCTTTTTAAATAAACAACAATGCCTTCAGCTACCCAACTGCAGGCCTCCTGTGCGTAGTTAAGGTAGCCAGAGCTTGTTTCCTTGACACCCTGCTGCTGGCCATATCACAGCCCTGTCCCCAGGACAGTGTCCTGGCAGTGCTCTGAAGGCAGGAGTTGTTAGGGGGTCTCCTCTCTGCAGGCCTCCTCTGTTCTGATGCTTTCATTTAACAGCAGGCAGATGTTTGCTAGAGGCTCATCACAAAAAAAAACCCCAAAACTTTTAAGTTAAGCTAAATTATCTCCAGAGTAAATGTCTCGGTTGCCAGGCCAGTGTGTGTCACATCTCGTCAGCAGGATTGAGCCGTTCCGGGTGTGACAGCCACCTGCTGCTCAAGTGCAGCCCTTCTGCTGGCAGAGGGGCCAGAGGGTTCAGCTCTTCTGGAGAGGAACTTGTGATGACCTTCAGCCCATGCCTGCAGGAACAGACAGCTCTTTGTTATCCCCTGTGTGCAGGGGAGGGCTGTGGCTTTGGCTCTGCTCTCATTTGCTGTTACTTTGGCAGGGCCACAGGTGCAGTGACAGTGGCAGGAAGGGCACTTCTCATTGTTCCTGGAATTCTGACTCGAGGAATCATTCCCTGGAGCTCACTTTATTGCCTCCAGTTGTACTGTTGTTGTATTCCTGGCCAAAAAGGCCTCGTGAAAGGTGCCTGCAGCCTGGAGAGCTTTGTGCTGGCCCCGGCAGGCTTTTGGGTCACCCTGTCTGTGGTGTGGGTGGTAGCCAGGGGTCTGCTCCTCGCAGGCTGCAGCACGTGCTGTGTCCAGATGTTGAGATCTGAGTTGAGCTGGCAGGATGAGTTCAGATCACTTCAGACAGTGTCTTCAAACCCATGTGCCTCATTGTGTTTTATTTACTCTTTCTAGCTGTCTAATGCCCTCCTGGAGAAAGAAGTGATAAATTATGATGACATTGAAGCTTTGATTGGGCCTCCACCCTATGGGCCAAAGAAAATGATAGCTCCTCAGAGCTGGCTTCAAGCAGAGAGAGACAAGCAAGACACAAGAGATGAAGAAATGCCCCAGCAGCCACCAAACCACGAGGAGGAGGAGGAACCACGCCTGAGACCAGTATGAAGCCTACTCCTGATGTGGAACAAGAGGACTCTAGAGGCTTCTTTTGGACACAGACCCTTCTCAGCTCCAAAATCAAAGCTACTGAGCAGGGAATCTCTGTGCTGCTGTTACCCAACAATTAAGGGAGGGCTATATTGGCCTTTTAACGAGCTTTTCCCTGCAGGAAGAACTCCTGAGGATTTTGAAATTGATTCTCAGCAGGGTAGTGGTGATTAGGAGTTGGGTAAGTCTCATCTGCTGGAAAGGTTTCTTGTACACAGGAGCAGTGTACATGTTCTTAAGGATGCAAGGTCCTGTCGAGTCCTTGTAAGCCACCTCTCTCCACTGTGTGTGACACTGCAGGAGTGCAGGGCTGTCCCCTCCAGTGCCACAGTGGTCAGTGCAGTGGAACCCCTGCAGGAAGGCTCTGAGCTGGCTCTGGTGCTGTAGTTCTCGTGCGACTCCGCTGTAAGCTTTGATCATCTCTGCTGCTGAACATAAAACAGAAGCTGAAAAACAGACTTTCCTAACCTGTCTGTAACGTGCTGCTGCGTTTGTAGAGTGTGTCAGGACATGGGTGTGTGTTTTGGCACATGTGGGGCTTATTAGAGCTATGGAGTTGTACAGGACAAGGGTCTTCTTCTCCCTGGCTAATAACTTCTATTCAGTTTTTATAGCAAGTATCTGGCAAGCAGGGATTGAGGAAAACCTGTGTGCAGAACCCACCAGAACCCACCAGAACCCCCGCAGTGTGATGCTGGGAACGAGCGTTGCGGGGAGCGGTTCTGATCTGTGCCTTGGAAGAGTGTTTGGTGGCCCTGCTGGTTCAGAGCTGGAGAGGTGTGCTCAGGAACTGGAGCAAAAACAGGTGTGTTTGGGGAACCTCAGGAAAAAGCTGGTGGTTCCTCTGGCTCCATCGTCAGCAGGTGTGTTTGGGGAACCTCAGGTGATTCCTCTGGCTCCATCCTCATGGCTCTTGCAGAACAAGCTGTGATGACGTGGTCATCTGTGTCAAAATGGTCCTTGGTGCCTGGTGTGCTCTGGCCAGGTTAGTCCTTTAGGAAGGATTATTGTCCTGAGTGATTCCCTGAGGGTTGTGTGTGATCTGAAAGACCCCAGCCCAAGCCTTGACAGCTTCCAACTCCCACCCCTCAGGGTCAGTCCCCAGGTGTTCTCTCTCCTCTCCCAGCCGGAGCCCCCAGCCCTCCCTGGGGTGTCTCGGAGCTCCCGGGGGTGATTTCCCTCCCTTTCTGGGGCAGAAGTGCTTTGCTGCATTTGGGATGCTGCTACTTGTGGTTTTTTATTTCCAAATCTGTTTGTTTCTTCACAAGTTCATTCTTTGAATTTGCTTCTCCACAGATAATTCTTTCCATAATTGATAAGAAGATGATTTATTGTTCTTTAGTCTAGATAGTCACAGAGAACATCTCGGGAACGTACAGTGGGTTTAGTTCCTTATATCCACATTTTTCTGCCAAAAAAGGCCACGAGACAACAGAAAGAGCCAGAACTGAGCAGGCAGGTTCCTGAGAAGGAAAGTTCAAGTGTTCTTTGATCTTATTTCTTGTTTTTTAAAGTCATGGCTGTGTTCTGGGCTGCCTGAATAAACCCTTTGCTGGGAGGATTTGGTCCTGTGGAGCTGAGGGTGAGGGGCTGTACTGGTGCTGTACTGGGATGCCCACACTGAACTGGGGAGGGGTGGATGGTGGGGCCCTGCCCTGCTGTGGGGTGTGGATGTGGAGGGGGATAGAGACCCCCCGGTCCCGCAGGAACCCTCAGGACCGTGTGACCCGTGTCCTGTGTCTGTCCCATCCCACCAGCAGTGTCCAGCCCGGGCTGGTGGCACTGGGCACCGGGCTGAGCTGCAGCTGCTTCTCCCGGCCGGGCCAGCCCTGCGAGGTGCCCGGTACGAGGCGGGATCCCGGCAGCGGGCCCCGGGGCACCGTGCGCCCCTCGCCCGCTTAACGGTGCCCGTCCCTCTCGCTGTGCGTGGGCCCTTTAAACTGGCGCCATCTTTACTGCGGGCGCGGTGAAGCTGCCGCCA